TGTTGACTGCGAAGTTAGTTTAAAGTTGTGCCCAAATTTTCTGTGCAGTTTGTGTCCATCATGTCTGGTGTTCGTCAGGTTCATGACAACATCCAGACTCAGACAGAACCGTGTGAGGTTCCTCGGTGACGGCTGATAATTAGTTCATGGAACCTCACGGTACTTATTTGCCAAACCGACTTGTTCTGTGCACATGTACGGTAACACCTGTCCTTTGTTGCATCGTTGGCTCCACTAAATGTGAATGTCATAGCAATGAGCACTTTTATGTAAATTCCTCACGTGATCCACAATCTCAGATGACCAACAACGACGGTTATAAAACGAAGCAAATAACGGCACAGGAATCCTGTTGTTATTCCTGCGAGACGTGAATGTAAAACACAGCCACAAAAACCTGAGACAGAGACGATTGTGACATCGCTTACTTGATTTCATCTCATTAACTCAACAACACATATTTTGGTTCTATAACAGAACAACGACAAAAGAGCTCAATAAAAAAAATTGCAGTATCATCAGCATATTCTTTCACAACAAGGAAAACCTGCGTTGTGTTCTTCTTTTCTTTTCTTTTCTTTTCTTTTCTGCCACCAAGTGGAAACAAAAATCAACACTTCGACCCTCCTCGTGCGACGCTAAGACAGCGTGATGCATTCCGTTTATTAGTGAAAGTAATTTGATGTTAAAAAGGAAACGTAAAACGGGGCGATGAGGACACGGATTATAAAATATTCACAATATTCGAGCGGCGCCGCGGCGACGCACTGACGGTTTAAAATATATGTCAGTAATAATGTGAACGAAACGAAAATATTATATACAATAACATTTAATCACATCTCTACAGTAGAGTGTGTGTGTGTGTGTGTGTGTGTAACCTGCAAACCATTATAGACTATTTTAGCACGCCCACGTGTCTGCATATTCACTCTAACTGCTCTCTCTCTGTAACAAGAACCCCACAGGGAAACGATCAATTATTTCACCTTTGTCTTACATCACCAGGCTCTACAAGACAAAAGAAGACGTGGAGTGAAGCCAGCTGCTGCTGCTGCTGCTGCTGCTGGTACTGTTGCTGCTGCTGCTGCTGGTTCTGCTGCCGGCGGCGCCTGTTCTGTTTGCG